CTCAATACAGAAGTCACTTTAAAAAGAAGGAAATGCATGCAAAACAAATGATACATTTATCGCCTCTTGTTTCTTCCGCTACGATTATTCAATATTGCAAGAATATTTTTGACAAAAGGAAAATGCCTTTTAATTGACTGAAACAAAATATTTGAAGAAATAAAAACTTTTTAATACTTCAAAATTGAATTCCTCTATTTAGTTATTTAAAGTTTTTACTTTAGCAATTCTGTCGAAATGCTCATAAATTTCATTGAATTCATAACTTATATCATCATGAGAGTCGAACTTCTCTATACGGCTGACAGATGTTGTAAACAGAATATCATGTATATCATGTAAAATAAAAGTCGAAAATTTTGCTCTGAAAATGTTTAGGGGGATGGGGGTCTGCAACCATTAATGTGTCTTTTTTGTCCTTATTTTCTGCTTTTTTGAGAGAGGAAAGAGAATGAATATATTGAAATAAACTAAATTCATTAAAAACATGAGAAATTAAAATCATGTGAAATGGGATGTATAAAAATAATTAACTAAGAAATTAGCCTTGTTTGAATTTGATATACTTTAGAAAGTTTCATGTTAGGTTGAGTAAAAAATCGTAAAACATATTATAATGAACTATAAAATTGGAACAAAAGTTGCTTATAGACAATACTCCTTCTTTGGCTTTATAATATCTTATCTATGAGCGGAAACTAACATCTGCAGTGCACATTTTTCTTTTAGTTTAAAGAGACACTTGAAATAGTTGACCAATTTGAATAACGTCATCATAAACATATTTTTTCCCGGGGTTGTTGTTATAAGGAATTAAAATAATTTGGTCTGTTATTTTCAATGTAAATGGTATTTCTTGGAATTGTTGAAACAATATTTTTGTTGCATATTTTTTCTGACACTAAATTTCTGCAATTACGGCTCTTTATCCAAAATATAATTAAAAATCATCAAAGTTTGTGTCCCGTCCACAGAAAAGTACTTGTCTTGTGTTGATATCAAAATTCAAAAAGCCAATATTACTAGCACTTTAGGACAAGACAGTTTCTACTTCAGTTACATTTTTTCTAAGCTGCTGTTTGAGAAGAATAGAAAACAACTCGTTGGAATTCAAAAGAGAAATTTCATTGATAGCCAAATTGCCTCTTCAATGGTAAGCAAAGAAAACATAAAGAAAACCTAAAACTCAGAGCCTATCACATAATGCAAAAATAATGGCTGTAATGGATTTAACTTCCTCATCAAGAACATACATTTCATTTATCATAGTCATGCTTATACGTAATTCAACAGATAATCTAACATAATCTTTATCTTATAAAATACTTAAAGCATTATGAAACATTTTGTATGTTTTTTTAAACATTTTCTGTAGTTTAGAGTAGCGCAGCTAATCATCATATATACATAGCTACCATTTAGTAATTTGACTAGTCTAAAATTATTTAAAAATCTTTTACCGTTTCGCAAATCTTTTTATCATTTTATGTCTATCCTTATGATGGAAACAAAAACGAATGGATTGATCACAACTAAAGATAAAGTTCTACTTATTTATACTTATGAATGTCTGGAAATATATTATATCATATTTCCAATGATACGCCAGAGAAAATAGTAGCTACGTCAAAAAAATTTGAAGCAACCATCATTAAGTATTTTTTTCTAAATAGAGATAACAAAAAAATGTTTTTTAACTATCATAGACATTCAAGAATAATAAAATATTTGCAAACTGTGTTACGTTTTTACATGAGAATAATAGTAAACTAAAACTTGAATGCATGTGTGATAAAGAATATTTGATTGGACATTAAAACTAAGATTAAGGATTGAGGGAAATGATGAAGAAAGAGAGGTGCATAATTCAACAAATTGAAATGGGGCAAATCATCATCAAACATCAATACAGAAGTCATTTTAAAAAGCAAGGAATGCATGTAGAACAAATGATACATTTTTCGTCTCTTGTTTCTTCTGCTACAATTATTCAATATTGCAAGAATATTTTTGACAAATGGCAAATGCCTTTTAATTGTCTAAAACAAAATATTTGAAGAAGTAAGAATTTTTTAGCTTTTTAGATTTTCTTAACTTTAGCAGTTCTGTCAAAATACTCATAAATTTCATTCAATTCAGAATTTATATAATTATGAGAGTCGAACTTCTCTATACGACTGAAAGATGTTGTAAAGCAGAATATCATGTATTGTTTAACGGCCTTCATTTCTGTAACTAGACGACATGTAGTTACAGAGAGGTCTGCTAGTCTGTTAAACACTGCGCAACAGATTATTTGGCATTTAATTTTGCTGGCTTAGTTAAGCAATACGTCTTTCCCATTCATCTGGTAAACTGAGTTAACATGAGCAAATTTGAAATCAACCCATTTTAAATTTTTTCTAAACCGCTCTTGGTGAATTTCATATATTGCGTCATTTCCTTATAGTGGACATTGAAATGTTTTATTTCTTTCTATGCTTTCGTTTCCTAGAAACCTTACATCTATTTATTCACAACACGTTCTAGGCGGATGAACTCTACTTATATGAATTGTTGTAAACATGAGTCTTTGTAATGAACAATTTGTCTAATCTATTGCAACAATATCCAATCATCATAAATTATCTGAAAGCAAACGTGAACATACTTTTTTGGAGAAGGAAGTTAAAATGCTACATAATTATAGAAATCAATACTTGATTTATATACCAAAAAAAAAGTTTAAGAACAAATGATTATATGATTATATTGATGATAAGCCTTTCATAAATAAAGTAAATGTTTTACTACAAAAGCTTTAAAGAAATTAGTAACCGTCCACCTTCTAATAAATAGAAAATAAAGATGATATCAAGCTCAACAAAAGCGTTTCTTGGGACTCTCATAATCCTGTCTATTAGTGGCCAAATAGTAAATGGTAATGACGACATATCAATCTGCAAGAAAAGCTTAGAGACATTAAAAGACAACGTGAAAGAATGGATGGAAACTTGCGTTGATAAAAATGGCAATGACGATAACACAACTGCATGCAAGGAAGTAAAACAATACAACAAAGAAATGATGCAAATGCAAACAGAAATGTGTTTTACAAAGGTATAATCTTTAGATTTGACAAATTTCATAGTTTCTTGTTCATAGCACCAAAACAATATTCAACAAAAATAGGTAGAAGTTGTGCAGCCAATCTAATTTCAGTTATTAGTAATATTTCTACAGTAGAAAATTCTTTCTAAAAATACTTATTCTGGTCTTTCACAAAATATTATGATCATAAAGTCTATAAAAATTTGCATTTTTTTAATCCACTCTCATCGTTGTTATTTATAGTTTTTTATTATTTATTTAGATGTTTATCCAAAGCCATATTTGATTATTATGAGCTTTGATAAAATATACTCTGTTGATCTTATTACTGGAGATATTCATGTCAGCACTATTAATGGCTCCAGTAAGAATAAATCTGACCATGCATCAAGATATAATGACATAGAAATTGATGTAGTTGAGAATGTGCTTTACTACATTGATGACAAAGACATCAAACGGGGAAATCTTGACTTGACTAGAAACGAAATTTTGCGAAAAATGTTTTTGTTCATGACATTACAGTTGACTGGATTGGTCGTCGTATCTTTTACATTGACTCCACGAACATTATCTACCAAATTTATTTGAAAATAAAACTACAAGTGTTATGAGGCTTCAACCAGGCTTACAATTTTCCAGCATTGCATTTGACTCAAAACATGGGTAAGGCGATATTGAAATTCTTTTATTTACTTGTAAGCGTAAAATTAATAAACTATGTCAATCTATTGGAGGGTTTTCTTACGTAAGGTAAGAGTTTTGTTTTAGAGACGGTGTTTTAATTTAATAGAAAAGTTGAATTTTATAAGTCCGTATTATGGTTTGTTATTTAAAGGTTTAATAATAGAAAAAATATCGATTTTCCGGGAAATCAAAACTCGCTTTTCCCAAGGGAGCGAATATTAAGTATTTTGTTGGCTATAAAGAAACAAACGTCATATAGTTCGACAGATTTTTATTAAAATCAACGTCTTTCGGAGAGATTTGGACAGCAAAATTTTATTGCGTGACTATAAGGCATTTCAAACCAACTGCAATAATGAACACGTTTCGTGTGATTATTCAGCACACATGCAGTAGAAAATACCATGCAAATCCTGAAATTTCAAAAATCGACAGCGATATTTAGGTTGAGCAACCAAAGAGCTTTGAAAAAAAAGGTAACAACGGAGGGATCAATGTTTATATATGATGAAGTCATTAAATGAAATAAAACAGAGCGTTAGGAACTGAAATAAAATATGAAATAATTACTTTGCACATAAAACTTTAGTCAAATAGTCACAGAACCCTGGCTTTCCACAACCTACAAAAAAGTAGTACAACTTCACTTTGCAACTTAGTGTTGTACATTTAATTCCATTAATTGTTTAGGCTGGCCACCTAAGAGCGCTTTTTTATGACAGAAAATGCAATTTGCTTGACGCCTCCATGGTAATCATATGCTTAATAAGATATGCCCTACACATAGGAATATCAACAGATTGGGAGCATTGTTTGTTGCTATACTGTGCTCTTTTGTATACTTTTTTGAGGCAGTGTAAGGGATGTGCAACTATCTCAATACGGAATGGCAATAAAGTTTTAAAATATTCACGAATGTGGTGAACGTAAAAAACTTCAACTTTTCGTTTTGTAATGAAGATAAAAAGAACTACACACATTCCAATGTAGTTACATGAAAAATATAAAAATGGATTTTAGTTTTCAAAAATTTGGCAATTTAGAAAAACATAAAATATATCAAGTTTATAGTTTTTCAAGCCTTCTATTAACTTGCATTGAGTGGCAGAGTATATTGAAAAGTCAAGAGCTTCAAATTAAGTGGCTGCACACTTTCCTTTAATAAATTCAATCACACATCCAATCAAATCACCTGAATGGAAAATCATTTCACGACCTTTAGTTCATGCAGTGTTTCTTAGTGTAGCTTAGGCAAACGTTAGGTCTGTAGTTGCTCCACTGATGATGAATCTGAAGATAATAATCATGTGATTAAAAAGAAATTGGCTTAAAAGCCTTGTCGAGCGAGAACTTTCTGAATATGTTATAAATAATTTACGACTTTAAAATAATTTCCTCTTCTAACGATTCCTATGAACTCTCCATTCATGAGAGCCTTCTAATCAATAAATACAAGCCTTCACTCTTCGTGCAAGGAGGTTCCATTCCACTTAACCTCTCTTAACTTCACTAAATTTTACTTCCCAACTTCTTTATCATGTAATCCATTTAACACCGCCTCCTTTAGTCGTAATTCAACACCTTTTGTAAATACAATATCTTGTCTTAAAATCTCATTCTAAATTATTACTTGCCTGAATATGTCTTGAGTAAGGACGAAATGTCAGTATAAATTCAATTTTACAGCTTTTGGTCTATTTCTATAGCTCTAATTAAAACTTTATGTTAGGCATTAATTGTTATCATATTACAAGAAAAAATTAAGTTTCACGAACACAAAAAGCCAAAAGAACGGTAATATATACGAGAAAGTTTTTAAAGAATTCGGGGCAAGTAGCAATGAACGACAAGAACACATGGACTTTACTGGTACTCAAATGCGTATTACATTTAAGAAATGTATATGAGAATGCAAATATACTGCGATGGTAATCAAAACTGCCAGTTGCATCCAACATTTTCGATAAAGTAAAGGCCATAGTGTTCAAGCAGTTTTTGCAGCTTGTCCAATCCAAAGATTCTAAAAGACACGAACATGACATGGCGAGAGAGTCATCATTTTTAAATGATACCAATAGCGTTAGCTCCAGTGTCAATCTTCTTCTGATTTTTCAGAAAAACAATGAAAAAATTTGACAATTAAAAAGAGAAGGTTAAGATAGTTATAAAAAAACGTTTGTCCAAACAAACAGAAAATAGTATCAACAAAAGACAATGTTTTTGAAGCTATAGCTCTTTTAAAAACATTTGTGGATGATGATCCATCCAAGGAGCTGCTAATTTTCATGCAAGATGAAACTGAAAAATTAAGAAAGCTTAAAATTGAAATGACAAAGCTTTCTTAATTTTATATCTACATGAAATGGTGCATAGCATTTACCAAAACCAAATTTTCAATTCGAACAAAAATTCCACGCATCAGCTAGTTTTCAGCATTGTCAATTACCAACACAATTCATTCAGCAGCCACTCCAAACTACAGCATTACTCATTCCGACAACAATCGCAAACAATACCAATTATTATAGAAGTTATGTGAATAAAAATAACATATTGCATTCATTATTATGTTCTGAACCTCATGCAATGTTTAATTACTTCATATATTTTAGTTCGGTTTTTAAAAGAGAGATTTCAAATGATAATAGTGATCTTTTCCTGTTAGTTACAATAGCTTTATGTTGCTATATCATCAAATTTTATGAATATGTTCCATTAAACCGTCTGTATATGAAAATAGTTCCGAATACTTTGACAACATCTTTGTCTTAACTAAAAAAGTATTCTATCTTTCCTTTCTTGCACATATTAGCCTGCCAATTGTTTATGTATTTCAGTACGTATAGAGAAACTAATGTACAAAACAAATATTTTTATTAAGGTATCTATTCTTGGAAGAAAGCACAGAACGTTTCTTATGGTTATGGAGCGTGAGTGCAAATAAACATCATATTCTTTCAGTTTCACTTCAGTCAAAAGCACATGATCTAACGCTTGACATGGCTAAAGGGAAGATTTATTGGCGAAATTCAAGCGGAAATATTTTTTCCTATGCTTACTACTCCCAAAATGTAAATGATTTTGGAACTTCACGAGGTCCCATGGCAGTATTTGGGGATTTCATTTATATCATAACTAGTGTTGGACGAAGTGTCGTTAGTGTCCATAACACAACAGATCAACGTACGAGGCGTAAATATTTTCTTCCTGTAAACAACGCTTATCTTGATTTAGCTGTAGCTATGCACAGTATCACTCCTGACTCAAACGGTAGTTAAATATTTACTTATTTGACATAATAATCTAAGACTTGCAAAAACTCCCACGCTAATGTTCATAAAATAGAAAGACGTTAAAAAGTTCAAAGTTACATTGCCTTAGTAAACGGTTGTTCTTCCTTCCAAAATTATAAAAATTTGATGAACATTAAGTTCAAAGTGCAAAGTGTCTAATTTGGACATTTTGCCGTTTGTCTATTCTTATCAAACTTCTTGGGTGTTAAATTTAAGTCTTTATTGTTTCTTACATCATTTAAACAATTACTTGGGCTTGAAATCAGTCTTAAATAAAAAAATCATGAAAATAGATTGAAAAACGTCCAAATTGAGCATGTTGTGCAGTGAGCTTAATGTTTATCAAATTTCTTAAAATTTCAGTATATTGCAAAACAGAGTTTAAACTTTTACATCTTTGGATTAAACTAGATTTGAAACTTTTCATTTTCTTTGTGCATGCTGTTCAAATTGAGGCGATTACGAAGTACTCACATGGTTTTGAGATTAGTTTTTCATTCATTTTACTTTAAATAAACAAGGCAAAGCCATGCCAAAATATATGAGCTTTGACACATTTTGTGAGAACTACTGATGAATTGATAATTTTCTGAACATTTTTCAATTATCTAACTTCTTTAGTATATCCCTTATAGTGTCCCAAACAGCCAGAAAATTTGTTCATACTCTGTAAATTTTCAACATTTATTTAATTGTTTTGTTTTTACGAAATGCGCGAACACCAAAATTACCAACATTGCATAACAAACTTGCTTGCTGGGTACGTCAACGTGGATACTGAGTGACAAATTGCGTTCTTTGAGGAAGAATATGTTTCGTTTAAAATCCCTGGTTAATTTTATTTTTAATTTTATTGATCGATATAGCGACAAGCACTTTTCACTTTCCTTTGTGTGGACCCAACACATACTATCGTAAAATTAATGGAACATTGAACTGCACGTGTATACTCGGGAGAGGATACTTAGGAGAATGTAACTCGTGCTGGAGAGGTATGGATTTATTACTGTCTTTATCAAGATTTTTTATCACAGATCATGAATAAAGAGCATCTCTGTGCAGTTTTAAAACTTTGTTCTTTGTTGAGAATCCTGAGCTGTTTTCTGTGCTGCTGCTTCTGTGCAAGGAATTTGCTGCATCTACATTTTACATGTAACCACAAAAATAAGGCTCACAGCCACACATGCAAGTTCATTATTACCAATACAATCAAGCAGGAAATCAGTAATAAATTTATGAAAAGCTTCAATACACTTAAAACTTCCTCAGCACACAACATTGAAAGTGTATGGTTCTCTAAATGACAATAGCACATGTTAACATTAACACATTTTGAGTTTCTCTACATTAAGGAGGGGGTAGGGTTAGGGTTAGGGTAAGGGTTAAGGTTAAGATTAAGACTCCTCCTGAAGTTAGTAATCTAGCCATGGCCCTGCTAACCTAGATACACCATATTAGACAGTCTTGATTTTATTATTAGTTGGCTTTCCTAAACTAAGAATTCTGTAATTACAAGCTTTAAAAAGCATTTTGACAGACATGCTTCCAGTTCCAGACCTCCTAGAATGAGTGCACCTCAATAATATTACATCAAATGTCTTCAACCAATGGATTGTAGCTTTATGAACTTATTCCAAGAACAGACAAATATGGCCGTTGTCCGATTACTCAGTAGGCTATGTAGGCTGAAGCTTACATTCCCGCGTTTTTAAAAGACCTGTTCTCTTTAAACATAGTTTTTACTCTTTCCCATTCTAGATGAGATAAATGATCAAAATTTCAATAATATATCCTGTTAGAAAGTGTACGATATACTATTATAATGCTCTATGTATAGAACTCATAAAGTAGTGAGTTTATCTCGTTCGAAATATAAATTTATTCTATAATGTTTACACTATGAGTAACAAAACTGAAGCAAAGGCAATGGAGCTTAAGAAACGGAAACGTCGTCAAAAGACTGGAATTTTTGGGAGAAAGTTATATCACTTAAAGTCCCACAAATTTTTCTAAGCTTACAGTCCGCGCAATTAGTCATCCGCCGCTTAGTATGGGTGGTATGCACTGATAATGTTCATTCATACATGTCCTGTTAACTTTCGATGTAAGAAAATTAGGTTTTACTATTAAGAATTCACTTCCTTTAAAAACCTAATTTAGCAATATTTTTAAGAGGTACAATAAATCAGGTCAAAAAATGTATGTAAATAATGGGTAATAACGTTTTTCAGTAGATGGCATTAAATTTCTACTGGGTTTAATAAAATTTCAAATGACTTTCTTACTATTCAATTTAACGCTATTAGAGTTAGACTGGAATTTTCAAATCAGACATAAAAAAATTTCATGTAAGCACACATTACAATGAAATTGACTTTATATTCTGAACTTGAGTGCATTGCAAAACAGCATCCCCACTTCAAATGTAATTCACAGTAGTCAATAATATCTTACATACAATGCTTGTGTTCTGTAGGTTTTCAGCCTGTGAAACATGAAACAAGCAATTTTTTACAAATAATAATAACACCTAGTAATGATTTCATTCGCTTAAAAACACTTTTTAACAAAATTCAGTCGTTTATCCTATCAAAACATAACCTTGAGAAAATGAATTTTTAACATTTTCAATTTAAATAGCCAAAGATTGCACTGAGGTACAAAATAATGGCAAGAACGAAAGTGGAGTTTATCAAATTGATCCTGATGGTCAAGGATCTTTTAATGTCTACTGTGACATGACTTCATATGGTGGTGGCTGGACTGTATTTCAAAGACGCCAAGATGGAAGTGTTGATTTCTATCGTGGGTGGAATGACTATAAAGAAGGTTTTGGTGATCTTAAAGGCGAATTTTGGCTTGGATTAAATAAAATATACCGACTAACATCTTCAAGGAGAAATAAACTTCGTGTAGACCTGGGAGACTGGTCAGGAAACAAAGCATATGCTGAATATGATTATTTTGCTGTAAAGAATGAAAATAAAAAATATCAACTAAGTCTTGGTAAATATTCTGGTAAGTTAATACGTTAATATAAACGTTTGAGGAAAAAACATTTTGATATATGCAATATTTTTGAATGATATGAGTGATTGCAGTTTGCAACGGGGGATTCTCCAAGTTTTGATAAAAACGGATAGTAACGGTTGGTTTCGAACTAAAGCCTTGTTTATCAATGAAAATATAATTAATTTTGAGCTTAAAAACTTACCGAAAAAATACAACAAACAAACGTAAAAAGTCGTTCCAATTTGCGAACGATTCTGT